GCAATTAAAAAAAGCTATAATAAAAGGCAAAGCATCCATCTACATAAATATTACCGTACTTGGAAAACGTCTCTTGCTTCATGAAACGGGGAATACCTGGACTACCCGGGGGGTCACGGGGTTCCCTAGAATTATAAATCCAGAAAACGTTGACCTTATGCAAAAAATTGATAATCAGTGGCGACTGGCGACTGCATTGTCAGTCAGAGTTAAATGGAAAGGTAAATAATTAAATATTAATAGACAAAAACTGGTATAAAATTTCCCAAATTCGTGACAAATTCTAATAATTTAATGTTTAAAGAATTGGTACAGTGGTGCTGTAAATTCACTATTAAAAGCTTCTCAAAGTGTAAACGGTGAATGCTACAATTTAAATGTTACACAGGATATTATTATATCAATAACATCCTAAGAACACGAGGAAGATGGAAATGTTGATATTCATTTTGATACTGAATAATTCTGGTTTAGAATTAAGTTTTTGTGTTATTTTTTGTTATTTTATTTTTTATGCGATTATAAATAAATTAAAATAAGCATGACGTGTTTTTAACAATAAAACAAAATTGTAACATAATTTTCAAAAAAAATCGATAATTTTGACAGCACTGCACGATAATTTCTTCATCGGCTGGTGGCAACACTGAGTTCGCGGCGCATTGTTTCAGTTTGTCTAGCGCGATCGACTAAGACGGTAGATAACTCGGACACTCGCGTTTCTTACACACATACAAACGTGGTTTTAACGTGCACGTATTACAGCCGGTCATTCAGTGGGTACCAGAGATAACTGGTTATCTCTGGTGTGTACATTTTTTTCCCTGGGCTCGTCTGACTATGTGTCTCCGAATAACACTGAAGCCTATTGGCTTATTGTGTTTTACCCCATATTAGTTCATAGCACCCACTCTATCATCTTTGTACCTTGTACAAGTTTGTACAGATCCTTGGGTGAGTGGATTCTATACGTTGTTGGATCAACCTGGGGTTGTCCAAAAAGAGCCTGTTTTGCGATTTAGAGCTTCGCATTCGCACAGTATGTGTTTGGCCGTTTCTGGTTTCTTGTGACATAGTCGGCACATGAGTTCCCCATTGTACATGCCAATTTTGTTCAAGTGTCCCTTTACTGGAGCGTGCCCAGTCATGAACCCTGTTATCACTTTCAACTGGTTTCTATTCATTAAGAGTAGTTCTCCAGTTCTTTTGGGACATGGTCTGCCTATGAAAGCTTTTCCATGTGCCTGTTTTGGGGTGCTTCCCCAATAGTTGATATGTTGTTCCCGAATCCAGTCATTTATAAAACCCCGGACTGTACTTTTTGGTACTCCTGGGTTTGTGTCTGGTTCCGGTGTTTCTTCCGACCCTCTTTTTGCAAGTTCGTCAGCCTTTTCGTTGCCTTCGATCTCTTTGTAACCTGGCACCCAAAATAGTTTTACTCTATTTCGGTCTGCCAGTGTTCTTAGTTCTTCGATGCATTCCCATACCAGCCTCGACGTAACTTTCTGACTCGATATGGCCTTAAGTGCCGCTTGGCTGTCTGGCATTATTTGAATATGCTGATTTTCGACAACTCTTTCATTGTTCGTTTTTGCACATTGCAAAATTGCAAATACCTCGGCCTGAAATATCGAGGAATGTATTCCTATAGCATAGCTATGGTTAGTATCAGGGTTTTTGGAGAATACTCCTGCCCCAGTGCCTTCTGCAGTCTTAGACCCGTCTATATACCAGGTTTGTTCCTGTCGTTGGGCCCTTATGGTGATTTCCGCTCTTTCCTGTATTAAAACCTCAAAGGGATTATTAAAAGAGTACCTCTTGGTTATGTGGTCTGATCTCATGTCTAGCACGTCTCCTGTCACTAACCTTGAGATACTCATGTGACCTGGCCTAATGTCAAGATTCCCCAGTGTATTCCCTAATCTGTAAGCACCTAATCTTGTCTCCCCTTGTATCGCATAGTGAAGAGGTGGGAGTCCTATTAGTGCATCCATTGCAGCAGTGGGGGTTGTTTTCATTGCCCCCGTTATTCCGAGGCAGGCAAGTCTTTGTACCTTGCTTAGCCACAGGGTGGGACATCCTCTCGCTACCCGTGCCGCTGTTGTCTCTCACATAAGGGTTGTGGGTACATACAAGACAATCCTTTTATTCATACGCGAATAAACAATACAACATTCATTACATTATATCAGTTCATTCGTTTATTAGTTATATATGTTAGTTTCTTGTTTCGATAATAAAAGGTTTTTCACCATAACTCTACGTGCTTTATTATCAATAAGCCACCTTGTCATACTACAATTCTATAACGTTTTTTCTAAACAAAAAATCCAAAACTGCCAAATACCTTCCGAGATATAGCCCAAAAGTTCTAAATATGATCTCCATTACAACAGGTGCTAATAAAATTTTACATTTTTACATTGTAATCTTTCACACCCTGTATCCTATATAACACTGAAAAGGGACTTTTTTCTAAAGATCACATCAAGATTAATACAAAAAATAATATACTTTTAAAATTTTTATTCTTAAAAATCGCCTAAGGCGTTTCCGAGATACAGTTTCCTACAAATGACGATACAATTAGGTTTATCGTCTAATTCCGTAAGCAGTTTATTTTCATTGTGTTCAACATAAAATATTTAAATTTAATCCATTATTCATGATTTCAAGTGTTATAGATAGAATACATCGTACGTCGCATTCATTCAGATATACGAACCCTTCCCATTGACAGCCATTTTGTTTGAAATACCTAATTACTCGCAACGTTGAAAAGTTCCATTAATTGGTGATGATCGAAAAAAAAAATAATAAAACGTAACATTTATTTTTCTGTGAGCGCTTCTTGACATAATATTTTATTATGCAAAGTAGGTGAAAATGGATGATAGGGAAATCAAAACAAATTTTCAAAAAATATATTTCCATAAGGAGCACAATTCCAATAGATTTATCGCCCAGATATTGTTACTTAAATGTGGGATGAAGTGTACTGGTCCAAAATGTAGCTATGTTGAAAAATAAACAAAAACCTATTTTCTTTGTTTTGGCACGGACCAACTCAACGCATTAATTATAATGATTGATATTAGTGATATTTAGTTTTTTTTTCTACTGTAATTCTATGTTCTCAAAACAAGGGCACGTATTGTATACATAATTTAAGTTTAGATATTGCTTGTCTGATAATTCTTTTGAATATTCGACGTTTTCTTTACAGCCTATTCATTTTCCATATATTTACTGTTTTACTTTGAAATTATTGATTTGGGTGTCCGCGCGCTTTTTCAACCACAAAGAAATGGTTTGTTATTATTCTAAAATTATATAACTAATCGTTTATATTTTTGCTACTTTTCTTCATTTTCATCTAGTCTACCTCTGTTCCCCATTTACTAATATTACTCTTTTTATGTTTTATTACAATGTAATTCTGTTATAAGCATAATTTGGAACAAACTATAATAATATATGAAAATAAATATTGTTTTATACTATCACTATTAAGTATAGGTACTCGTAAATATTTAAAACAAATCGTTTAATCTATCTTAAACAATATTCTGGACTGCAGTGTTGCTAGTCCTTATCCTTTTTTAGTTCGTTCTCTACAAGGCTGTTTTTTTGCTCTTCAATGAATCAGATCATTCTGGTACATTTTTTAGACAAATTCGGTACATAATAAAAACATATTCTAGCATCACTGCTGAAAAGCCTTCCAACTTCCAATGCCATAAACTCAGTTGCGGATTTCTAAATAGGCTAGCTAGGCGACTGGAATAATTAGCATTGGACACATTATCACTAAAAAGTGACAAATAGCGCTTTTTTCATTTTAATATTAAATTTGAAAAAATGCCTTACTACCTAACCTGTGTCATCGCGGGGCGCTCCAAGCGGGTTTAGGACATTTGGACGTGGCCGTTTCGGCGTGGCCATTTCGGCGTTGCCATTTTGGCGTGGCCATTTGTACGTCAGGCCATTTCGCCGTTGGCCATTTCGGCGCCGGCCGTTTCAGCGTCGGCCGTTTCGGCGTCGGCCGTTTCGGCGTCGGCCGTTTCGGCGTCGGGAATACTATTTTTTAGTATGTATGTTAAAACCGCTGTAAGTTTGATTATGAAATAAGTAAAGTATTGAAATAAGTGAGGTATTGCATATCAATGGGATAAATGTTTTAATTTGTTTTTCAAGTACCTATCAGAATTATAATAGTAGTGTAAGTAATAATAGTGTAATTAATATTTTATATGAACATTAGTATAATAATAGTGTAGTAAAGAATTGTTCCAAATTTGCAACCCAGAGTAATATATTGCGATTTCGAACAGGCGTTACTATAAATGGTTGTTTTTCTCTTGGTCCAAAATATGAGGAAACAAGTGGGTTCTATGGGACATACGAGAGAGTACAATGCTGATCTACAATTCTCTCTAAATGGCAAAACGGTGATATCTTTGGCATTTGTTCCTACGATCATTTAGATAATGCCTTTGATGTTCTAGCGGAAGGCCTACCTGCCGAACAGCAATAGTATAGACATTTTATTTTAGTCTTTCTTTCGACACGAAAACAGTTTTATTATTTAATTATAATAAACCTAATTATAATAAACCTAATTATAATAAATATAACAAGTATTTAAAATTTATAAAAATCATATTGTTAAGTTTGCCAAAACTTCCAACGCCGAAATGGCCAACGTCGAAATGGCCGGCGTCGAAATGGCCGACGTCCAAACGGCCACGCCAAAACGGCCACGCCGAAATGGCCACGCCGAAACGTCCCATTCCCCTCCAGGCCGCACAGATTAGGTAAATTAGTAGTGTCTTTTAAATTTTTCATATTTTATGTATGATTTTTTTGCGATGGCATGAGTTATTCATGAGAAAAATTAGAAAAAAAATTCAACTAATTTACCTAACCTGTAGCGCTAAATTTTTCCTAGGATATTTTTTTAAACGCATGCTATTTTATCATGACTATTACGTCATAACACCGTTTTTCCGGTGTTATTTTATCTGAGCGCTTCTCGTGAATATGCTATTTGTTCTTGCGTTGTTTTATCCTGGAGCTGTTTCATTTGCGGTATTTTGTCCCGCACTGTATTGTCTTGCGCTATTTAATGGCAGTGCCGATGAAAAGTGTAATGGGAGCCAATGGAAAGGCCATTTTTATTTAGTTGAATATCTTTAGGTTCACCTCATATGCAATTAGATAATATATGAATTTTTATATTCTGTTGAAATGCAGTTTTTGTTGCATTTTATGTGATTCTAATAAACATTTGCATAATTTTCGAATTCCTTATTTTAGTATCTATTTTTAGTTTTGAAAAAATATAACCTGTAGGCGGCACTTTTGTATCCACCTCTGTATTAACTCCAAATATCTATAGTCGTGTTTATTTTGAATCTAACAAGAAGTATTGATTTTTCATCATCTTTACCCAATTGTACTTCCTCTGTATTATACACAGTATATTTTCTCAAACATAAAATATTTAAGATCAATCATTATAAAACTTGTAATGGGTGTTTGCTTTTTCATTTATATTTTGTTCCATATCGTATAATTTTTTTCATTTTATGAAAGCTGGCGTTACAGTGGAATTTAAAATCACCCAGGTGTTTTCGAAATATTTCACTAAAATAGCCAAGTAGTTTTTTCTCTGCGCAGACAACCATGTTGGGTACCCAAATATGGAGAATGTCGGATACCAAATGAATGACTAGGTGCATGCCTCAGATGTGAAATAACCTAATAAAAATAACAGTACTCATATTAAGACAAAATTTTATTTTTGAATTTTTTTAACGGAAGTGAGCAAACTTAAAACAGTTATCAAGTATGTTAGGGTTCCTCCTTCCTTTTAAGATTTAAACAATCGGTATATTGAACTACTAATGAAAAAAGTTTATTTCCTTGAATGTAAATATTCTAGTAGTCCATAGTACTGATCGTTGTAAACAAAAATCGCATATTTAATAATCTATTCGGAAGAGAATTAGAACATAATTAATTAAATAAAATCACTGTCCGACACCTTTGGCCATATCTATAAGGTAAATATGTAATTATACATACCTTTTCAGGGGAATAGACTCCAGGGCCAGGAATATTGTCATCTTTTGGAAGGTCTACTCGTCCACTCATCGTATATGCGGGAGAATTACTTTTATAAAAATCTGGAAAAACGTTATTATATTGACCAGGAGCAGGATTTTTAACACGTTCGTCTAATGGTTCTTTTGTTCTACCAGATATTGTATAAGCTGGAGCTCCTTTATCACCAACAGCTGATGGAATATTGTAAACATTAGGAGCTAAAAACATTATTAGATTAAGTTTTTTATAATATATAATGTATCTATGGTATTTAAATATGCAACTCTACGTTTATTTGAAGTTGATTATAATAAAAATTTTATTACATTTTAAAACCTTTCCATGACAACCAGAAAAATTTCGGAACATTTTTCTCTTGGTGGGTACCCTGAACGACATTACACTGGACATTTTTTGACATTTGAAAAGCTCTTTCATGCACATAATAGTACGACTCGACGCGATGGTGTGTTTAAAAAATTTGCCATTTCAGTGGTTAACATTTTATTTAATACCAATTGAAGGGTTAAGTGGATAAAGGGGTTATGTAGCATTTTTAATTCTATTTTTTGTTGATGAAGAATTAATTAAGTTCATATGTGTCTTGCCTTGGTCTGGTCTTGTGCGTCTAATTAGTTCATAATCATAATCACTATTCCTAACTCACAAAAATGCGCGTTTTAAAGATATTTTTCACTAAACTTCCAATGAATCTAATTAAATAGTTAGTTGCTCAAAAACTATTTTTATAACAAACATAACCCCTTCATTCATTTTCCCCTTCAATTATAACTAGATATAAATATAATATAAATACATTTCATTTATAAATAATAATTAGGTTTTTCGCGTTAACTATACTCTGAATAAAAGAGGAGTTAGGCGTACTTTGTAAAATAAGTTTCTATAATATAAATAAGGTAACGGCAAAAAATGGTATATACGCACATCGTAGATTAAATTTTGAACAAACAAAAGTTATATTATTTACAAAAAATAAAAATAAATCTTATGCTGGCTAGAACTTTTTTATAATGATACGAAACCAATTTTCAAGCATATGGTAGTCTTTTATTTTCTTTCACTCGAACATTAATGTATTAAAATTTTCATTTTAACTACAAACAAGCATTGAAGGATGAGGTATAAATAAAATGTCTACCTCTTGAACCAGTATTACGTTTTGCAAATTAAATTACTGCACTCCTTTCTTTTCTAGACTATAATAGTATATTATGACACTAATGCATAATCGAACCTTTAAAGCATGAAACGAGTTTAAGGCCACGACGCGCAGCGGTTTGGCCTTAACGTTGCGAATGCATTAAAGGCGATTATGCACTGTCATAAATGATATTTTTTAGTATGAATTCGTAATTAAAATAGTAATAGTAGTAATAACTACAATCATTTTAATTGAAAAATGCAAATTAATAATTTCCATACATTTTATCGAGTGGGTAGGTAAATGCCAATTGACATTTTATTTAATTATTGAAATAATTTTTCTGTTTGTGTTACTTGATTTCGGTAAACTTATAAACAATTTCATTAATTTGACAATTCAAAATAAAATCTGACATAATCTAATCTTATTTATTAAAGCGGTTACCTAGCAAGCTTTATACGCACGACCTGCGATAAAGACCCGATTATGCATGCTTTTAGGTTTGTTTGGGATAATTTATGATACATGAATACTAAAAACGACTTTTTAAATATGACAAATATGTATAGTTGGCACAGCCAACTTTGCCGATTTGATTTTAGTCGTTTTAATGCATGTCTGTCAAGTTTTGAAATTTTGGTATTTCGTTGTAACATTTTCTTACCAAATTAGGCATTCCAAACAAAATGACTGACCGTTTGAAATGACAGGCCACTGACAGACACATGACATGTTATAATATGGCAACACTGTGAGCCTGGTGGTTTGATAGGATCAATGCTATAGGCAGTTATATATATATATATATATATATATATATATTGATCATCCACGATTTTAAAAATAAACATAAGCTTATGCCTTGAAGTAAATATGTAAGCAATTATTTTTTTTTTAATATCCAAAGGCTAAAAATTGGTTTTAAAACAGATGTTTGCTAAACCAATTCAAATTAATAAATATTTGCCGGGCAATATGGCCGCTCGCAAACGACGAGCTTTGAGCAATCTATAAACTATATATGTATCCTTGACCCTGTTAATGACAACATGACAACAGGGTTGCCATATCTAAACTGTCAGTCCCCACTGGTAGCCATTTGGACAGGTCGTTGGAATACCTAATACCGTGCCTAAATTATTGTCTGGAAATTTTTGCTAACTCACGAATATTTTAAGAGAATTTTCGTGAGCTCCGGTAATAATTTAGGGACTAGTGGTATTGAAAATTTTGGTTCATTTTTTAAGTATTGGAATTATCTGGAGATAATCATTTTAACATAAACTGTTTGACCGGTTGCTTTAAACTTAATCCTTATAAGGAAGAACAAAAATACAATTTTGAATTGATCAAGGAATACTAAGATGGAATAGTAAATTTTTTTGTATTGTTACGAGTTTGAATTATAGTTATTATAATAATTATTCGTGTGCCAAAAGCAAAAAGTGATACATTGATGCTTAAGTGACCGCTTCATCAGCATTTATTGTGAAGGTGCAACCGAACAAATGATTGTCCATAATCCAAGAATGGGTAACTAACTTGCCTTACTTTGGATTTTAGATTTAATGGGTCCACATCATATAATATTGTTCTATTTTATTTTATTTAATCATATTTTATACAATTACATCTACAAGTTAAAATGTTCTGCGTGTCAATTTATAGTAGTAAGTCATACGATGAATAATAAACGGACAATAGGACAGCATCAATTATCTTCGACCTAATTAATATAATGCAATTTAAACTAAACGCTAAAATCTATAATTGTGTAGATGGAACCACATACTTAGATTTTTCTTTTACTATACGGAGAATGGTCGCACTGCGCAGCTTTCTGAGTGCCTTTTAAAATGAGATAGAAAACTCCGCCATTTTGAACCCTTATTACGTGTTGCCTACATCTTGGCGCAATATTTTTAATAGGTGCGTTTTAATCATCCGCTTCTGCTTCGGAATTGTCGGTTTTCTTGTTTTAATCTGACAGGTTAAAACGACTAAACCGACAATTCCGGAAGCAAAAGCGGATGATTAAAACGCATCTGATATTTTGCTTGCTGCTGTCAGTGTCAGTGAATATTATTTTTGAAGTCACAGTTTATTGCTAAAGAATCAGTTAGCTCACTCGGACCAGTTGAAAGTTCCAAAATAACATCCACTGCAGGGATACAAATTCAGGATACGCAGAAGACTGCTGTTTTATTATAGACGGTTGTCATATATTGTATTATCCGAGTTGCACAGTGTATAAACTGAAACATTGAGATCAAAAGTGCCGACGTAGAGTGAGCGATCTGATTCTTTAGCTGTAAACTGTGTTACAGGGTTCAAAATGGCCGCGCCCTATGTTGGGCGTGTCGGACCTCTCTCTTGCCTCGTATAGTAATCAAAGTATGTGAGATGGAACACTATTAATTAAAAATAAATGTTACCTGGGGTATCTACGGCTTTTCCCATATTTGTTTTTAAACCAAAAGTATATTTCGGAGAATTATCGTGAATCACTTTTTCAGCTTTATCTGGATTATAATCTCCTGGCGCAGGGAAATTATCAGGTTTGGGTTCTTTTGGGCGGCTATGTAAACTTAAAGCTGGTGGTGTATCCTTTCCTAAAAAAAAAAATCTAGTGTGAGTTTTAACAAATGTAAATTTCGTCGATCCTTTCTAACTGAATAATTACAGATATTACTCTATATTTAGGTGTGCTTATGTAAGAAACCTTAAAGTACCTATATTTCATAATTAAAACTCCTAATAGCACACAAGAGTGCAAAGCATAAAATAGTTGTTACTAGAAGGAATGCTATCAATTTCTATTAAATCGAAGTGGGAATTATTACAGGTTAAATTAAAATTTTAAGGTTGTTGAAGTGGTATTTTATGTTGGAGAAATGTTATACAGTGAGCATCATAAGTCTTACCCCCCCTATCTAACTCGTTCTGGAGTCTTGTTAAGAAAATCTCCGAGACACGTCGATTTTTGATTTCTACAATGTACATTTTTGTATAAATAGTTTATTCTTAATTTCATCCCTTACTGGAAGGGAGCAACCCTTTCGAAAAATTTAAATGGCATGAGGTGGTGAGTGAAATCGTGAAATTTTGGTTGCTTCCCTCCAGTAAAGGATGAAATTAAGGGTAAACTATTCATACAAAAATGTACATTGTAAAAATCAGAAATCGACGTGTCTCAGCGATTTTCCTAACAAGACTCCAGTAACGAGTTAATTAGGGGGGTAAGACTTATGAGGCTCACTGTATATTTATGCAGGGTGTTAGTATATATTCGACCGACAACGCTCTACAACAGAGAGTTCTTGTTAATTAATTAATTTTGATATAGAAACATGAAACCATAAAAAGCTTGAATACAGAGATACAGAGTATTAAAAGATTTAAATCAAAATTTAAAATTTGCCATAAATCAAGAACGTTTTTTACTTTCCTATCTGTATAAGGAAAGTATAGGAATCATGATTTTTTCGACCTCGAGTTTTCGACGGATTTTTACGTTTTGAGGTCCCCTGAATCCGTTTTGACTATTTTCGCGATGATGTGTGTGTGTGTGTGTGTGTGTGCGCGTGTGTGTGTGTGCGCGTGTGTGTGTGTGTGTTTGTGTGTGTGTGTGTGTGTGTGTGTGTGTGTGTGTGTGTGTGTGTGTGTGTGTGTGTGTGTGTGTGTGTGTGTGTGTGTGTGTGTGTGTGTGTGTGTGTGTGTGTGTGTGTGTGTGTGTGTGTGTGTGTGTGTGTGTGTGTGTGTGTGTGTGTGTGTGTGTGTGTGTGTGTGTGTGTGTGTGTGTGTGTGTGTGTGTGTGTGTGTGTGTGTGTGTGTGTGTGTGTGTGTGTGTGTGTGTGTGTGTGTGTGTGTGTGTGTGTGTGTGTGTGTGTGTGTGTGTGTGTGTGTGTGTGTGTGTGTGTGTGTGTGTGTGTGTGTGTGTGTGTGTGTGTGTGTGTGTGTGTGTGTGTGTGTGTGTGTGTGTGTGTGTGTGTGTGTGTGTGTGTGTGTGTGTGTGTGTGTGTGTGTGTGTGTGTGTGTGTGTGTGTGTGTGTGTGTGTGTGTGTGTGTGTGTGTGTGTGTGTGTGTGTGTGTGTGTGTGTGTGTGTGTGTGTGTGTGTGTGTGTGTGTGTGTGTGTGTGTGTGTGTGTGTGTGTGTGTGTGTGTGTGTGTGTGTGTGTGTGTGTGTGTGTGTGTGTGTGTGTGTGTGTGTGTGTGTGTGTGTGTGTGTGTGTGTGTGTGTGTGTGTGTGTGTGTGGTGTGTGTGTGTGTGTGTGTGTGTGTGTGTGTGTGTGTGTGTGTGTGTGTGTGTGTGTGTGTGTGTGTGTGTGTGTGTGTGTGTGTGTGTGTGTGTGTGTGTGTGTGTGTGTGTGTGTGTGTGTGTGTGTGTGTGTGTGTGTGTGTGTGTGTGTGTGTGTGTGTGTGTGTGTGTGTGTGTGTGTGTGTGTGTGTGTGTGTGTGTGTGTGTGTGTGTGTGTGTGTGTGTGTGTGTGTGTGTGTGTGTGTGTGTGTGTGTGTGTGTGTGTGTGTGTGTGTGTGTGTGTGTGTGTGTGTGTGTGTGTGTGTGTGTGTGTGTGTGTGTGTGTGTGTGTGTGTGTGTGTGTGTGTGTGTGTGTGTGTGTGTGTGTGTGTGTGTGTGTGTGTGTGTGTGTGTGTGTGTGTGTGTGTGTGTGTGTGTGTGTGTGTGTGTGTGTGTGTGTGTGTGTGTGTGTGTGTGTGTGTGTGTGTGTGTGTGTGTGTGTGTGTGTGTGTGTGTGTGTGTGTGTGTGTGTAGGTCGCATAACTCATGAACCGATACACAGAAAAACACCAAATTTTAAACTCAAGCTTTATATCAGCGTTGGGCAGAGTCGGAACATCTGGGGTGGTCATTTTTATATTTTATGGAATATATTTGTTATTTACGTTTGGAGAAGAAAATTCTTCAAATAAAAGTTATTATATTATTATCTATAATTTTTGTTTTATACAAAATTTTCCTAAAATGGTCCGTATTCGAGAAATTTGACAAAATGTAAAAAAAAATATTTTTTTATAAAAATTGTTCAAACAAAAGTTGTTTGTAATATAATTCTCTATAATTTTTATACCATACATAATTTCTCTAAAATGGACCGTATTCGAGATATTTGAGAAAATGTATAAATTTCGAAATTTTAAGAAAACTCAAAAACGGATAAAGAAAAAAACATTAAATTTTAAACCTAAGTTTTATTTCGGCCTGACGTGAAATGATTAGATTTTGGAGAAAGTCGGAACATCTAGGGGGTACTTTATGGGAGGCCATTTTTATATTTTATGGAATATATCTGTTATTTATGTTTGGAGAAGAAAATTGTTCAAATAAAAGTTACTTCTAATATTATTATCTATAATTTTTGTTTTATGTCAAAATTTCCTGAAATGGTCCGTATTCGAGAAATTTGACAAAATGTGCAAAATTCTGATTTTTATGAAAATTGTTGAACTTAAAGTCGATCTCTATAATTTTTGTTTATACATGATTTTTCTAAAATGGACCGTAATGGAAAAGTGCTAAATTTAAATTTTCAGTATTTTCGTTTTTAATGAATATCTATAGAAAATTTTTTCGAGATAGATGTATGTGGACAATGTATATATTTAGTTTATCCTCTAAACATTTATAGAGATGCTGCAATAGGTTGTACAAAATAACCGGAAAAAGCCTATAATAACTAGATAGGAAAGTCATGTGTTGGACACATCAGATTTTTAATATTTTTTTCAAATTTGATCTAACAAATGTTAAATACACGGACCATTAAAAATTTGACACGTGCTTACTAGATTAGAATTTAGAAATATTCAGTTCTTGCAAATTATCTAAGTACATGCAGACCTTTGTTTACAGGTAAATTTCTGTAACTCCGTTAATTTTAGATCCATAAAAAGTTCTTACCTTTTTAAATAAAAATGAACAGAATTAAAAAAAAAAGTTCAAGTGTCGTAAAAAATAGGGGAAAACTTTGCCACTAACCTTGATAGCGCGCCACTGGTAAAATTTTTAAAAAAGTTAGTTTATGTCAAAATATTACTTTCTTAAATGAAAAAATTTGAAAAAATATAAAAAGGCGTTTTTGATTAATGGCAAATTTTGTATTTTAATTTCAAACTATGTCTTATTTGAGTTGACAGCAAATTACTTTTTCGGGAAACATTGAAAATACTGTATGTACAAAGTGCAACAAAAATCTTTAGAAGTTATTTCTATTATATTTTATTTTTCACTAGTCCGTAGCAAACTTGAGTATTGGTTGTACCAGTCGCATGATCCCAACCGGAATTTATCTAATGCAATAAGAAAAAGTATTGATTGCAAATAATTTAGCTGATGGAAAAAAGTTACTTGTACAAGGTATTGGTGAAAGATTTGTGGAGTTATTATTAGAAAGTAAAATTTTAAATTTCCCAGTAACTGAAGTTTTTTATGTATCCAATTAAGAAAACAATCTACTTTCAGTACGAAAATTGAACCGAAAGGGTTTAAATTAATTGTTTCATCGGGGATTTAAGTAAATAATTTATATCACAGTTTATTGCTAAAGAATCAGTTAGCTCACTCGGACCAGTTGAAAGTTCCAAAATAACATCCACTCCAGGGATACAAATTCAGGATACGCAGAAGACTGCTGTTTTATTATAGGCGGTTCTCATATATTGTATTATCTGAGTTGCGCAATGTATAAACTGGAACATTGAGATAAAAAGTGCCGACGCAGAGTGAGCGATCTGATTCTTTAGCTATAAACTGTGTCATAGGGTTCAAAATGGCCGCGCCCTATGTTGGGCGTGTCGGACCTCTCTCTTGCCCCGTATAGTAATCATCAAAGTATGTGGTTTAATGGAATTTTGTGTTATGAAATAAATTTCACGTGATTTTTTAATATAAAACAGATGCCACCACATTTTATGTAAAGAGAAGACCTTTTATAGAATATTTCGTTAGCGTTTATTTACTACGAACTTTTCTGTAAAATGTTGAAATGGAATATTGTTAATCGAGTAAGAATTGGTACTCATTGTCTAAGAGTATTATAAAAAAAGCATGTGCGCAGGCGAATACTGAAAATCAAACCTTGTGAGTTGAACATTATATTTTTTAATTTAATTTAAAAAGTCGATTAAACAATAAATCGATTTTTCTAAAAAAAAACGATTATTTTCAATCAATCGAATATTTTGAATAAATCTACTTTCTTTTTGTAATTCCTTTATAATCGATTATTCCATTACCTAAAAAAACGAAAATAATTTATTGAAAATGTTCAATTAATCGAAAATAACCGATTAAAAATAATCGATTAATTATAACCGAATAAATCGATTTTCATGAAAACGATAAATAGATTATTTTTGTAACCCCTATCGGTCGCATGCTTTTATCCGAGCATTTAGCTCCAAAATTTAGAGATTCGGATTTATTGATCCTGTTATCTTTGAAGCCCCATTCGATTGTATAATAAATATTGCTAGAATTTAGATTTTTTTTAGTAAACGAACATTTTTTTTCGAGTTGTTTAGGGGTTTATAATGTAACATTTTACTAATAATATGACTAATTTCCGTAACTTTAGTATTTTTTTGCTTATACTAGATCATATTGCGCGTTTTACTTTGTTTTAAGACTTAAGATTCAAATGTCACTTCCGATTTAACCGCAAATAAAATGAACCTTGAAATTTTAAGTATAGGTGAACCTGTATTTCATCTAATATTCTTGTAAAAATACCTAACAAAGGGCTAAAAACCACCTTTAGTAAATATTCTTATAAAACTACTTTTTAAAAACAAAATTTCGTTAGTAACAATGCCTATTTACTTCTTATTAAGTTTAAATAAATGTTTAAAATTTTACTCTTTTGTAAATGAATGCATTATGAAATCTATTTTCTAAAATATTATGTATTTGGTGCTTAATATTTATTGAAACCCCTTAATGTGGATCTGAAGTATTCAGCTCAAAGAATCATGGCGACTTTATGTCAAAACGTCAACAAATATTTACCGCTGAAAACGAATATATTTCTTTTTCATAACATTGACACTTATATTATTTGTATATACAATTTTTCACCATACATCGTGGCATTTTCAACTTGAAATTGATAAACTAAAACACTTTAAATTGCTAATAACACCAACAAATAATTCAAAAAACGGCGGTCCATAAATGATTTACTCACGCGGAGACAGGCATAGAATAGAAATTTCGGAGCAATTCGGGTGGCATCGTAAACACAATGATTTTTAATTGGTGGGTTACTTAGGGTTGGAATAGACAACGTGCGCAATGTGCAATGTTACATCTCCGGTCTCTTTTATCTAAGGTTAAAACTGACAATTCAGACAACTGTTGTTAAAAATTTTACCGGGCTAGCTCGTTATGACTCCCATAACAACCATAAACAGAGGTTGGTTACCACGGCATAACATTGCAGTGTATCATAAAGTACATTTACGGATTTGTTACCGCCCATCTCTAAATTCCCGAGATATAATCGATCTTTGATTTTCGCGAATTTATTTGAGTTTGGTTTATAAATACGGGTCAAATAATTCGGAATAATAATTATTGTACTAGTAGGAAGGAAAAAATAGAAATATTTTTAAAATTCTGGAAAAAATATTAAAACCCATCATGAAATAGTGCAAATTGCTAAATATCGTAAATAACGGTAGGAAATTCATTATGTGTTAGGATGAAAATAATAATTACTTTCTTTGATGCATATCAAAATAACCCAGAATTTAGGAGTCATGTTATTATAACGATTAAAAGACTACGAAAGAAACGTACAATGAAAGTGATAATCAATATATCGTATAACAAACTCAAATGAACCGACCTGGTTCTTCTGTAACGGCTTTTCGATTTCAATTTCAAGCAGTAACATTAATTTCCAGGGTTAGTTGAGTTAATTTAATGTAAAGGAGCTTTATTGATGCTAGATGTCGTGCGGCACTTCTAGAATGGGCTCGCCAACATTAGAATTAATTTTTACAAGAGTACAAAAATATTATTTCTTTGGAGATATAATTTATTAAAGCTGTTTAGGAATATTCCAAGAAGGAAATCAAATGTTCTGAAGAGGTTTATATAAGTATAAAAGAATAGTTCTGTTGGTTCACATGCGAAAAAACAATTAAAAAATTAAATTAAAAAAAAATAACAATATTAGACCAACTTTGTCTCCACATTTATATATATTTATTGACAAATATAATTATTTTCATCAACAAAAATGTGATTAACATTATCATCTATAAACATTTATTAAATGTTTTGGCATTGATAAATTAATGATAAATTAATTAATAAATGTTTTCTTATTATTCCCATTAATTTGTATTTAAAATTTAAAATTACGAAACATAAATTTTTCAAATGTCCTTCATGTTTAATATATCAATTTTGTAACAGTGTTACTGTTTAAAACAATTATCAATATGCAACCCTCTGTCATTATTTTCTCAATAAATAGCTATAGATCTTTTACAAAGGGAAATATTAAATCAATTGAGTTTACATATTATATCTTTATGTTTTTATTCGAGCTTTTTCTTTTATTTTGAATATCAGTAATAAAAATCTATACATAGTTCAGTCTAGAGTGACAGCCCTGATATTTGACTAAATTCTAATTTTTTTACCCATATATTTCTGATAACACAACTATATGTATAACAACATAAAAATATTTGGTCGATCAACATTGGCCTGGTCTGATTTTACTTTGTCCTGATGAAACTTTGCATCGCTGGGACAAGATCGAGCTTTTTGTTAAACCTTAGGCACATTTTTTTGACCGTGTAGGGACCTATTTAAAAATGTATAAAGATATTTTGCGTTTTTGTTATTTGTTAGAAATCCCATTTTCAAGGTCATGCACGCAATCCTTAAAATAATGATGAATACTATTTTATTATTCTCGGAATTAGTTTTGTATTTAGGCTCCAGCTTCAGCTATAACTTATATATCCGCACTTCTAATACCCCGCATGCATCTTTGTATTGTACATTTTTTTCCTTAGAAAGATAGGATTGGAAGGGTCGCTATGTATCGTTATTGAAATCGAGACTATTCGTCTACTGAATTAGGCCCCATTACCGTTGTAATTCTAACATCAAATTTAGATATTAATTCCATTCTGATTGCGTTAAAATTCGTGCGAAAGTTACAGTTACTTCACCAACCTGCCTGTTATGTTATCTGCGTAAGATACACATTTATTTCATCTTTAAACAATTATTTTTGCTTGTCACTTTCAGTTACAATAAATAATCACTCAAATAAAATCATTTAAAAGATGTTTAAAAGACTAAATAATTTATTTGACATTCAAGGATAGAAAAGGTTCTTCATAGTTAAATTAGAAGTGCATAAAATATTTAGGCAACACGAATGGCATACTGATTCCCCATAGGTAGAAGGCCTCAGTAATTTGTTTAAATAGTAACCTGCTACCTTTAACATTTTACACTGTCTTATCTACTAAATTAATTTGACGTAATTTTATCCATAATGTAAATAATCGCAAACAATTTACATTAATGATGTCACTAATTCATTTGCTATTTTTGATGGATATTTTGTAAACAATAATAAACTAGACATTGTTCTTAAAAATACTTCTTATTTTAATTTAAAACTAAAAAGACAATACTACAATGACTAATTATAATTAGTAGTTAGTTAGTTTTATATTTTGAAATTACCTTAAAAAGTTAATTGAATATTGCTAATTTGGTAGCAACTAACAAAATTATTTTCTTCAGTTTTGTACATTTACTTACATAATAGTCCCACTTTTTTATACTTGATTTTTAATAATTAATATATTGCAGAAACGTTAAAAAGTCATACCTTTAGCACTCATTCCTGACACATTGTATTGACCTGGTCCTGGACCAATAGAATCCAATTTTCCCCCTTGTCTAGAACCGAAACTAAATGCTGGAGCTCTTTCTGTTTTAGACTCCAAGGTTCTTCGTCCTGTAAATATGTATCTTTTGTTAATCATTTAGTTGTTTACTTAGTAATTAAAAAATTAATGGAAAACTATTATTGACTTACACATAATATAAAGTAATGAGAATAGAAATTGAAATAAAAACGGATTTTAAAGGAATGATGTTGCCCAAAATCGCCACTAATTTAATTCTCAGTCTTACACATGTACAGAAACACCTCTTATTTAAAATCGTCACAGACCTTCTTGAATCCCACTGGTTAATGATGTGACAAATAAAACATGAGGGAATACATATTCCTTATATATACAGTTGTCTACTAAATAATCGTAAAATTGTCGCAGGCCATCTTTTTCTGGCATATAATCACAATACCACCACTAGTGTCTAAATTATTTCCGGAAATTTTTTCGAACTCACGAATATTTTGAAAATGATTTACTTAAAATATTCGAGAGTAAGTTAAAAAATTTCCGGACAATAATTTAAGCACGTGAAGTAATCGGTAAGAAAATTTTATACCGAAATATCAAAATCACAAAAAATGACAGACACGCATTAAAACATCTAAAATCAAATTTGCAGTTTTCCATGCCAGTTATATGCATATTCGTCATATTTGAAGTCGTTTATTCGACGCGAAAAACCTTATTATTATTTTACTTAAAATAAATATAGTGTATTTCTATCTAGTTATAATTGGTATTCAATAAAATATTAACCATTGAAATGGCTAATTTCTTAATCACACCATCGCGTCGTGTCGTAATATTATGTGCATGAAAGTGTTTCTCAAATGTCAAAAAATTTCCAGTTTAACCAAAGTATATTAACCATATATTAACCGTTGAGTAGCGACATAAAGCGACGGTGCCTTTGATCTTGGGTGGTGCAAATTTTCTTTCTCTCTTTTGACGTTATTGACGGAACGACACAGTAAAATACTGCTCGAATTATGAACTGGTCTTGAATGTGATGTTTACACTGCTCGACATAATTTGAAGCAAAACAAAAATGTACTTGCTATAGTAAGTTCAAATTCCATCTAATACAGTGAGCATCTTAAGTCTTACCCCCCCTAACTAACTCGTTACTGGGGTCTTGTTAGGAAAATCGCCGAGACAGGTCGATTTTTAATTTCTACAATGTACATTTTTGCATGATTAGTTAACCCTTAATTTCGTCCCTTACTGGAGGGTAAAAACCCTTTCGAAAAAATTTAAATGACATGGGGTGGTGAGTGATAGCTCATTTGAAAGGGAGTTTTATTCTCTATTCAACCGTGCAAAAAAATTTTGAAATTTGCATCATTACATGTTGATTTATTAATGTTTAAAAATAACAAAACCTCACAAAATAGGAAAGCAACTAGACTAACAGTGACCTTCTAATGGCAAAAAGTCTTACTTCACGTCTGAAGCAAAATCGAAGTCATGCAGGGCCGAATTTTAATTCTAAGGATGAGTGCGCTACGTTAGTTTTCGTTATTCTGAAACAACAATTAGTCGAGAATTAATGAAGCAAATTTCAAATTTTTTTACACGGTTGAATAGAGAATAAAACCCTCTTTCAAATGAGCTATCACTCACCACCCCATGCCATTTAAATTTTTCGAATGGGTTGCTCCCCTCCAGTAAGGGATAAAATTAAGGGTAAACTATTCATACAAAAATGTACATTGTAGAAATCAAAAATCGACCTGTCTCGGCGATTTTCCTAACAAGACTCCAGTAACGAGTTAGATAGGGGGGGTAAGACTTATGGTGCTCACTGTATAAGTTTTGAAGAGTTAGGTATATTAGTATCAACATGAAATATGCAGAAAGAATGTAAGCAGGGCCAATTTATGCTTTATAGAGTTAAATTAAAGTCAAATTATTTAGGAAAGATGCCTAAAATATTCAAATATTGTACCTAACAACAGGTACATATAGTTGGACAGGTATAAAACGAACCCTTTTCTAAACAAGAAACCCTCGAAAAAACCCATTTATAATAATTGTTATACCTGGTACCTAAATATGCTGTATATCCTGTAGATTTTATAGGAAATATACGAAATAGACCTTATCACATCAAATTTTCACAAATAAGTTCCAATAAAAATAAGATTATTATTTGATAAATATCAAATATTGTGTGTAGTTCAAGGTACTTACCTCTCATATTCTTCTGGAAATGAAAACAGTGATTTGTTATCACCAGACCTTGTCGAGCAAGGTCGATAAGCACATGCATTTCCTGGCATAATGAAAAACCCACAAAACCCCAAAAAATCTTAACAAAAACACAATAAAAGAGAAGAGCACTAATAAATCCACAACAACGAATTCCTATATCAGCTGCCGAAATAAAGTGAAAGGGGTCGTTTACATCTTTAGAAGACGTCTCGCCTCTCTATTTCGCGTCGGCGCACTAGAATTCGGTTCCCCAGCTGTCGCTACTCAACGGTTAATATCACTGATCTGTATTATTTTACTGGATAGGATATAGCCCCCTAAAAAACGTTCCGAAAAATTGGCCGATTTGGGCAAATAATATGGCGGACCGGATGTTATTTAACATAACCTCTATTTCCATTTGTCATCACATTTGTCATTTAATTGTGTCAACAAGTTACGACGAGATGTTTTTTTTATTTATGTAGGTAGTATCGGATAGAATTACTATGATATAAACAATAAACGTTCTTTCGTGAAGACACAATATGCTTCACGTTTCCATTTTTATATTTTCTTTGATAAAAAAATCAAATCGTGGGTGAATTGTCCCGAAGAACATTGCCCGCAAAAGAAATAGAAGAAGAATAAGAAGAAAAACTAATCAAATTATAGGTTAGGTATGTCAAATTATCCCAAAATTCAGTTCTGTGAACCCACCATAATTTGCCCAAATCGGCCAGCAGTGTTGCACTTCCGGTCTCCTTGGTGGAACGGATTTATAGTATGTTAAATATAGCCTATATCCTATCCAGTAAAATAATACAGATCAGTGGTTAATATACTTTGGTTTAACTTTGTTTGCTAGGAGAAAAATTTCCCGAAATTTGTTCTGGTTGTCATGGAAATGTTTTAAAATAACAGCATTTATCGGTTATCAAATAGAGATGTTAAATTTTCAGCAAAATTCGAAGCATAGCGATTGCCAAAATCACTTGGATCAAGATAAATAAGTCGGAAAGGATATCTCAATAATTTCCCAATATGTGCTAGTTTCTGAAAACGCCACCAAGCCTAACCTAAATAAAACTTGCATCCGAAAATTTTGGATTGCGATTACATTATGGAGTCCTTTTTCAAAATCCTTTGTTGCAGGCACCATGCTCATTTCTTTACAGTTGGATTTCCATATTTTGAATAAGTTACTGTAAGTTATGGTACGCTTAATTGACAATAAACAGAATACTTTCTGTATGTAATGTCCGTTCTTAAGTTAACGCACTGTAAACATCTGTATATAAAACTTTCTATGTACAATAATTAAAAGTGCAGTTAATATCCATTGGCACCTTCTACTCTGTTTACTCCTAAAAGTATGAGTTTGGCAGACTATATACTGCAGTCTTTAACGGTTTTTCTTTTTGCCACCTGGATAACTAGTTTTGGGTAAATCTAATGATGGCTCTCATGTTACGAGGGCTGTTTTTTTTTCAACCTCCGATCGCACAGTATGATGGCCGGGCATGCGGCAGGTAGCTCGGCGTGCGTAATAGGTGACGGCGCCTCTTCCCTTTCACACACTCTGTCACTGCCGACTCCAACACGCCATTTCTTGTTGAGCTGCAGTCACGTAAACATGGCTATCTGTATTGATTCTCCCGCCAAGTGTGAATTGCGAAGTTGTATTCGTTTCTTGCAGACAGAAAGTAATAGTGAAGCGGAAATTCATCGAAGAATGAATTAAGTGCATGAAGAGATCTTACGAAGAGCTATTCAAAACAAAAGAAGAGGCATGCTGACTTCTGGAATTGTTCTCATCCATGACAATGCCCATCCTCATAGTGCTCGTGTAACCCAACGGCTCCTTGAACAATTTCAATGGGCCCTTTTTGAACACCCACCATATAGTCCCGACCTAGCACCGAGTGACTACCATCTTTTCCCTGAACTGAAGAAGTGGCTTGGGGGAGAAGAGCTTCCAAACTGACGAGGAGCTCAAAGAAACCATCACAACTTACTACAAGTCACTGGCGGCAACATTTTATGAAGAGGGTATTACAAAGCTTGTGCACAGATATGACAAATGCTTCAATCGTCAAGGTGAATCTGTAGAGAAGTAACCTTTAATGTACATTACTTTTGGTAATAAAATATTTTTTTTTATATTCACCAGTCTTTCCTTGATAGCCTATCGGAGTTCGAAAAAAACTTGTACTTGTTGTGTAAGCTGTAGTTATTCATCTCCTTATTGAACATCGCTAACGAATTGTACCTAACTTCGATGTGTGCGCCCTTATAAATTTCTAAGTCTTCAAGAATGAGGGCTTATTTTCTCTCATTTCTCACCTTTCATTAATATATTGAATATATTTTATCTTTGGATTTCTTTATCGAAAATAAGCAAAAATAGTAGTGTTTGTTCATCAAAATTATTTTTTTGATGGTTAATGAATTTGGAGGTATTGAAACCTAGCAATCATAGTCTAAGATCCGAAGTAAGGTCGACCTTCACCCATCTGTTTAATGGATGAAAGTTTCTTTTTATTAAATAAAATATTTTTATAAATATAGCGCAAAAGGTTTGCCTAAGAAAATACGGTCCAGACTATTTATTTTCTTAAAATAAAAAAAACGACACCCTGTAAGGTATTCCCCAGATGCTCCGACAATGCCTTAACTTTAATCAGCTTATCGCAGGATAGATTAAAGCTTAAGTTTAAAATTTGGTGTTTTTCTCTTTATCCGTTTTTGGGTTGTCTTCAAAATTCGAAATTTGCAGTTTTCCTCAAATATCTCGAATTAGGTTCATTTTAGAGAAATTATGTATAGGGACAACATAAAAGAGAAAGGCATGATAAGCAACTTTTATTATGATTCCTATAGTTTCCTTATCTGTACACAGAAAGGAAAGCAAAAAATGGCCCTGACCGTATTTTCTTAGGCAACCCATTTGCGGTATATTTAAAAACATATTTTGTTTAATAAAAAAAACTTTTATCCATTAAACAGATGGGTGAAGGTCGACCTTAATTACGGATCCTGGACTATCAATTTAATACGTACCTATATAAGATGGCAAGGCAACACATGCTGGTCCTGGTCCTTTGAATTCAGCAGCAATTAAGCCCCGTCGTTTTGTTGGAGTCCATGGTCTCTGCGTAATACCTCCCATTGTCAATCTGAAGGTGCAAAAATATATTAGTCTTAATGTACTCATGTACCAAATATGTACAATATATACAAATTTAGAAGCGTTTTAGTGGAAATATAAAAAATGAAATATTCGCGAACGGATTGTTATATTTTAATGAAAATATGAAATTAAAAAACTCGCTACCTCTTCGTAACGACTGTTGCCGCGAGACGAGAGATTTTAGACTAACGTCTCGTCTCAAAGACAGAAATGGAAAAATAGTCATATTACATATACATTTATAATAGTTTCTACAGTACCTTCTTGGGAAAATTGTCACAAATAAATACTTTTACTATTAGTGAATAAAATTGTAGTTAAGATTTTTTTTTTAAATATATTAAGCACTGCGTACTGTTTTCCAAATTTGTTACTAAGATGATGTTACATTTTTTATAAACAAAACAAAAATACTTTAAATTTATCGCATTTGTATATCTAAAGTGTAGTAGAAATTAAAACATGATTTGAAGATAAAATTTAACTATTTAGTCTTATTTGTATTTTGTTTTGCTATATATTTGCCCTATATAAAAAGTAGAAGTATATATAAGATCAGTTTTGTTTCACAACTTGAGGGATAAGTTACAGCAATTTTTTTTAAATCTCGAATTATTCCAGACAACAGATAAACAAGTAATTATTGTATTACACACGTTTTAAAGCTAAACGAAAAATTAGATAAATTGTTTGAATTTTGATTTCGCATTTAAAATTGTATATTAAGTTTATTCCAACTTGGTGTTTGATATCGTTCTTGTATCATACCAACATCAGTTCATGAACGATGTACTGCGCAAGCACATCTCTAAATGGTTTTGGAATCAGACATGAGTTGAAACGCTTTTAAAAGTGTTGATGGTCCATAAATAGAGAAAATAAAAGAGAAAGAAAAGTTTGTCGCGCGACGCGTAGCAGAGCGCGGCAATCTATCGAAAGCGGCAACGAACTTTTCACTCAAAATCATTATAAAAAAACCACTGTCTCCTTCTATATCACTCATTTTCCAAATATTATGATTCATAAACATTATTTTCTAATTAAAAAATTATATCTTGTTCTTATCTACCTATCAAAACATCAAAATGCTCTAAATTTGTAGGTTAACTAAAACTAACCTCTATCAATATATATCGATCACTTTGCGTAAGTCAGGTCTAACAGTTCCACAAAAATGTGTGAATCGATATGACGGTACAGAAAGGATTCCGGAATTATCCATGTTTTAGTTGGAAAGAATTTTATATCAACTCGTACAAATTAAGTTGGAACGTTTGGAGTCAGGCCCGTAGCGAGGGGGGCACCAGGGGGGCTGAGCCCCCCCTAAAGCTTGTCTGCGCCCCCCCTAGAAAATTGCCCATATATAGAAGCGCAATTAACGGCCGTTGAAAAATGCAAACAATGAACAATGAGTTCCATCAACGATTTTTTTTTGGAAAATGTGAATTGGGAAAAATGTACTTACTATAAAAATTTTATAGTAGAACCGTGTTATATCAATATATTTTTAGTAATGGTTCTGAGTCACTTATATTATATTCTCTTACAAGAAAATACTTTATTTATTAACAGTTACTTATTGCTTACTGTCCATTTTAATCAAAACATAATAAACACAAAGCCACAGACAATAAATTGCAACTGGAAATCGGAAAACGGATAACCATAAATTTTATTTCAGTAATTCCCTTAATTTCCCTGTAGTGTCAAACCAAGATATTTTGTTAAAACTTAAAACTGCTTACTGATAGATAGCAGTTTACGCACGGACAAAATTCTACAAAGCAGGGAAGCCAAACTGACTGACATGATGAAAATAGTTTTAGCCGTTGTGCAAACGCTTGAAGAAAAGCGAAATAATGATGAGTACCACCGGCTCGTTAATATAATGAACGTACAATTTTCAATTATTAATTCAGAAGACCCATCACTGCCAAGAAAAAGAAAACCCAGCAAAGTGTTACAAAATTTTGAACTTACTGAGCCGATGAGATCTACAGTCGTTAGCGAAGCAGATTTCAAACAAATATTTTTTGAAGTTCTTGACATACTATTAGTAGAGCTAAGACGTAGATTTAACGACAACAATGATTTAATTGAAGCTATTATGTCAGGAGAGAAATTAGATATTGAAAAATATCAACCACTGGTCGAACTGGGCATTCAATTGACAAGTGCTGCGGAAATAGAAGTCATCAAGAAATATATAAATCGACAGAGAAACGAGAATGCTGCAGAGAATCCCGATATTTTTCAGTGTATTTTTTGGCAAAACACTGCTTTTAAAGAAACTTATGAATTTCTAGCGACTTGGCCTACTTTCGCCTGTAGTACGGCTCTTTGTGAATCGTTTTTCTGCCCTTACTAGAATTGATAGACCTCAGCCACCTCAGTGGAGGTCAATGTTACATCCGAGACTGGCAAACCTTACCCATTTAGCATTTGAAAAAGAGAACAAAAAACATAAATATTGAAAATCTGCTGGTTGAGTTTAACAATTTAAAAAATAGGAAACTGCAATTATTCTAAAAATTGATAGAAATAAATATTTTTTTTACTCTTTGGCATATTTAATGCGGCTTTTACTAACTCAACCCTCAACTAGTTAAATGTTCATAGGAAAAGATGTTTTATATTTTTTTGTTGTAGAATTTTTTATTGAATAAATATGTGTTTTGTAATTGCTTGTTATTTTTAATACCCTCCTCGGAGGAAGGAATTCAAAAGAAAACTCCTCATGTCTTTTTGGAATTTTTATACTCTAATAAGAAATAATGAAGCCCCCCAAGATTTTGTTAAGCCCCCCTGAAACATAGGGCTAGCTACGGCCCTGCTTGGAGTGTAATACGCATGTGCTGTATCGTTACTGAATGTTTTTGAATCAAGATGGAACAAATCTATTGTTTTCATGTTTGGTCCTAAGCAGATTTTTTTAATAATTTTAATTTCATATCTTTTTTTATCAAGGAAGAAACGAGACGGAAAAAGGCACTCTCGAGCGTGAAAAGCGCGTTTTCATCGAGACTAGAAACGAGGGAGAAACCTCTCACATTTTGTTTCGTCTAAATGCATCACTTTCATTGTGTGAAACTTGAAAAAGCGGCTGTTATTTTTGGGACATCTTGTATCTAATTATACAAGGTGTCACAAACAAATACTTTATATCATACAATACTTTTTATACTCTTTATACAATTACAACATTGTGCTACTCTTAATTTATGGAAAATTAGAAATTTGAATAATATTTCAAAGAGTGTAATTTTTACAGGGCAATTTTATACCTCACCCAACAAAAACTTAATTAACAAGATCTTCTTCGTCTAAAGTCAAACTCTTGTAGTGCACTACACACAAGCATGATTTCATTCTTCTTGTATGCTCTCAACATTAACCACTGTTTTTGTTTTAATAAACAGTTCGTCGGTAATTGATAAAAAGCGTAAATTTAAAAAAAGAGAGCTTCAATTGTAATTTTTAGATTTCCGACGCCCAGCTAGACTTTTAGTTTATGTATTAAATGTTACTTTTTAAAAAATTACGGCTATTCGAATATTATTAGACTGGCAGCGTAATTGCGTAACCATGTTGATCCACCTGTGACTCGGCACATGTGGCCTGTAAGTTGTGACGGTCTTGTTCACAAGTCAGGGGATTATTTTGCACCTAGACTAGGTTTTAGACTGAGCCACCAGTCCCGTCACCAGCGTTATGCGTCTCAACTTCATTACTTTTATGTTTGCTACAGTGAGTACCAAACTAATGGAAACGATATTCTGGAATAACGTAGGAATACTTTGGTGGATTGCTCCCTAGCGGAAGAACAATGATCAAGCAATATGATGCCGACTTAATCATCCAATCACGACAAGCCATTAACCCTTGTAATACCAAGCTTTTTTTTCAAACATACGGTAACGAGCGGAGTACATTTGCACCCCATTTGTTTTTTTTTTTTCACGGTGTTTTCTAGACTATATGTACTCGTATATTGAAAAATAAACGTAATTTGATTATATCTATTAAATTTATTGAAATTTAAATGGGCCAGAATGTTAATAAAAAAATTTAAATGTTATTTAAAAAAATATATATTATAATATTTTATGGATTACTTTTGTAGCATAAAAATATGCAGCTACTAAAAACAAGATGAAAAATATCAGAAAAAGCACACGTGAGATGCAAACGCAAGGTTTAATGAGAAACGCTGGGTCAAACTTAAAAGAGGAATTCTCCTGTTGCAAAACAACGCGCCGATAGACACAAGTCAAGTTGCAAAGCGTGTTGTTCGAGATAGGCTTCGGGGAAGTTAACTATCCACCCTCCAGTCCAGATCTGTCTCCCAGGGATTTAAAGATTTTAAAAAGGCGTTACGTGGTAGAATATATGAAAACGAAATGAAGAAGGCTCTAGATGAGAATTTTCATACAAAGTTTCGGAATATTTTTTTCGTGTGATGAAACAATTGTACGGTCGATGTGAAAGGTATAAAGTAATAAATTAAAATTAATTTTTCGCCGGACATCCAAGCCCTAGTATTTATTATATTCTAGCACAATTGATCAACGAATTTTTCCTTATTTTACTGTGTGTGTGTTGTGACGAAGTCACTAAATTTTAATTTGAATTAATTATAAAAATAAATATTTTAATTAATTCCCGTCGAGGAACGCTTTAAAAATCCCCGTATTTTTGATTCCTTAGTAATTGCCGGTTTTGAGTATCTGAGAGAGCCCTAGTAGTTTAAAATATGCTCGTACGTACCGTAAATTATGTTCGTATTAAAAGACCAAATTTCTAGAAAATAATCTAGATGGTTTTATCAAGATGTTCAAAAGTCACTTTTTTGCCATCAGTAGTAAACAGTCCAAAAACTGGTAGTGGCTTCTATCACCCCGAAATTGTGCAGGAAAAGCGCTTCTGCTGGAAGTAGTTGTGAGGAACTAAATTTCGCTCTCTCGATTCCTGACCATCGT